TATCCTCTATTAGGTAGAGATATAGCAAATATGCCCATGCATTGCAATGGGGAAAAACAATTAGACTATGTCAGGATGAGATAAGGACTTTTAAAATGTCATGTCATAAACTACGTCTCATCTTGACCTAGCATTGCGCCATAGAAAGTTGTGTCAATTTTTCTGGAGCAAGCATTGTATAGAACACAACAACCCTTTTTTAACCGATGCGTCATGGACTAAATAAAATCATAAAACAACCTCTATTATCCCCTAAAAAATATTTAACCGATGCAAACATTTTCTAAAATTTTATGGACATAATTTTCAAATTGTTAAATATGTTTTGAATTCACGATCACCTTTTAAAAATCATGAATATTTGTTTTGAAATAATGTTTTTATACTATGCAAACAGTTTCTTAATCTTATTTATTTTATGATTTCTCTACCATTTTCTGAATTCGCGAACATTTTACGATTTCTATACAAAATTCAACTCACAACCTTTTAAAATTTGGAATTTTTCCGTTGAATTTAAAAGAGAAAAACATAAACAAAAATAAGAAGAAAAAAAGTACAAAAAAAGGAAAAGAAAACAGAATGGAGACATCACATCTGTAACATGTGCGGGAGAAGGACGACCCCTTGCAGAAAAAAAAAAGAGAAAAGGAGCGAACTGGGATCGAACCCAGGTCTCCCAGTGTCGAAGCACAGACCAGTGCGGCACTCATCTGCTTGTGATTTATTCTGTAATAACCAAACCCGGCGGCGGCCTTCAAGAAAAAAAAAACTGAATCGTTTTTTTCACTTATAGGTGGCATAGTGGGTAATTTAGGGCAATTTCGAGGGTAGTTTTTATGACGTACGGCAGAAACCCAATTCTTTTTATTATTATATATATATATATATAAAAAAAAAATAAAAAAAATTAAAATAAAATTAAATTAAAAAAAATTAAAAAAATTAATAATAATTAGGTAGAGAGGTAGAGAGGTAGAGATAGAGATAGAGAGGTAGAGAAAAGCGATTCTTCAGTCCGAACCAAGTTCGTATCGCTTAGTCTTTAACTTAAATTATAAAATAGAAAGTCTTTTCTCTTAACCCTAGATAGAAGATCCCCAATTCGCCGAATCTCTCGGCAACGCGCCTAGACCCCTGATTCTCTCGGCGACGCGCTCGGCAGATCTATCCGGGACGACCCTCGCATCCCCGTCGTGCGGGCGGTGGTGGATCAGTCGGGTAAGCTGTATCTGTTTTTATATGGGTAATTTTCTCATGTGCTCGGGGTTGATTTGAATCGGGGTTTCGAGTTGAGTTTTGGTTGATTTGAAACGGAATTCCTTGGGTTCCGAAATTGATCTCAAGCGAGGGTTCGAATTGAGTCCTTGATTATTCTGAATTGGGGATTCGAATTTTTTATTGTTCTGAATCGGGGGAAGTTGTGGGACATATTCTGCACGCACACACATCAACATGTCATGTGATTCGAAGTTAAAAAATTGTGATGGCACATCTAGCTGAGAGTGATTTCTGTCGCAGCAAATACGATTGTGTGTTGTGAATTTGGCGATGTACAATGTTCATGACATTCCCATTAGAAATTTATTGAAAATTTCCTTGCTTAGCTTACAAGCCAAATTAGCATGATTTTCTCGGAATACTATACTAGATAGCTACTGTTTGAAAATGCTAGCAACCAAATATTAATGTGATTATGCATAGAACGGTACACCCTCCCTGTTTAAGACAACAAAACCACAAAATCATCTCTACTCACAGGTCCGGTGTTCCAGTGGAAGCAGTCACGCACATCACAAGCTACAGGGTACTGGAATATGATATGGATTATGCACCACATCCTCGGTTACACCACATAAAGCACAGTTCGCATCTCCCAGCCAACTTTAGCAGATTGATTCTTCCTCTTAAACACATCCAAAGAAATCTTATTTTGCAAAGGGATCTTGGCCTTCCAAACATCCGTTATCCTCTGTGCGACGGTGAACATGGCTGATTTATCATAGGTAATGGTGAACATGGCTGATTTAGTGAAAGCCCCAACTAGTACTATCTTGGCTCTCTTCAAGGATAATACCTGCTAATTCCTCCTCTGTATAATCTCGTACAATTCCCTCTTTCCAAAGTATGTCCTGAAATTTAAACCCTGTAAAAATCATAAAGATATATTTTCCTTACTGTTTTGTATGGCTCCATGGTACTGCACATTCATCGGACACTGACCAAGGCAAGGATCAGTCAAAAAGTACACAGATCTACCATTATGGATATTGTTTACCAACCCAGTGTGCAACCAATCCTTGATCAAGTGTTAGCCCTTTCAAAATTGTGAAGCTAAGTCATTGTTAGATTGAAGAAAACAATGCTCGTTTAGCATAAGTTGACGTCCTGATGTGGAGCTACCTGAAAACAGAAAGGCATCAACACATGTAGCAAGGTACTCCCTCCGTTCCGAATTACTTGTCTTGGATTTGTGCTAGATACATCCGTATCTAGACAAATCTAAGACAAGTGAACAAGCTACTCTTTATTTTGGGCTGCACCCACCAAGTTGATGCTCCCATTCTGCAAATTGCCGCGACACATGGTCATAAATTAGGGTCTGCACCTTGCACTTGATTACTTTGCTTGGCGTTGATGATTGGGAGAGTGGTGGCCATGGTGGTTGATTTGGGGCAGCAAAAAGATTCGATTAGGTCATTAGGGGGGAGTGGGGCTGTGGGTGGTGCGTGGCTGTGGGGGAGAAAAAAAACAATTGAGATTTGGGAAATGGGAGAAGAACGAAGAAGAGAGGTGGGTGCTTCGCTTTCAGTTGGCCGTGTACAGTTTGAGGCAGGTGTCGAGTTTAGCTGGGGCCAGGCCAAATAAGTGGGCTGAGTGGTCGACTAAACCTGCATCCCATGGTCTGTTTTTCATAGCTCAGGCCGTGAGTGCAAGGTGCTCACATCAGGTTTTCTGTAGGTGCGAAGCTCTGTTTTCTTGTAGGTTCGAAGTCAGGTTTCCTGTAGATAAGAAGCTTGGGTTTCCTGGAGGAGCCGAGCTCAGATTTTCTGTAGGTGTGAAGCTCGGGAGTCTCAGTGGTGTGAAGCTCAAGTTTTCTGTAGGTGTGGAGCTTGGGTTTGTGGCTTGAAGATTTTCTCAAAGTTTGGAAAAGTGTCCAGCTCGGGAAGAGGAGGCACTCCTTACCCAACCTGTCTGCAACTGGAAATTCCATTTATTCAATTTCTACAGATGTTCCTTATTCTTATGTTTTGAAACCAAGACCTCCCATCTCTTCATGTCTACATAGATCATCAATCTTCACCATTTGGTATTTACCTTCATTGCTGTTCACTAGGTTTACACTAGATTATATTTTCTTGTTTATTAACCCACCTCTCCGCAACAGGAAATTCCATTTATTCAGTAGACAGATTTTCTTTATTCGTACGTTTTGAAACCAAGACCTCCCATCTCTTCAGGTCTATGTAGATCAGCAATCTTCACCATTTGGTATTTACCTTCATCACTGTTCACTAGGTTTACACTAGATTATATTTTCTTGTTTATTAACCCACCTCTCCGCAACCGGAAATTCCATTTATTCAGTAGACAGATGTTATTTATTCGTACGTTTTGAAACCAAGACCTCCCATCTCTTCAGGTCTATGTAGATCAGCAATCTTCACCATTTGGTATTTACCTTCATCACTGTTCACTAGGTTTCCACAAGATCATATTTTCTTGTTTATTAACCCACCTCTCCGCAACTGGAAATTCCATTTATTAAGTAGACATAGTTTCTTTATTCTTACGTTGTGAAACCAAGACCTCCCATCTCTTCAGGTCTATGTAGTCATCAATCTTCACCATTTGGTATTTACCTTCATTGCTGTTCACTAGGTTTACACTAGATAATGTTTTCTTGTTTATGAATTCTTTCAATCACACTTTTGTTCTTCTGATCTCATCGATACTCACATTGTTGAGTTATTATTAATTATAACCACCAATCTATAATACATAAATAATTCATCCCCACTATCCTATGTCTCTTGACATGCAGCCTATCCACCTCAGCAGCCTTGCTACATAAGCAATCTACTCTCTTTTTTCTTGGTGTGCAACTTGCCACCTCAGCATTTAAAAAAAATCAAGCGATTCATCTCTGGTAACCAAAGCGGACCATTCTTCCATGACTGTCACTCTTCGTATCCAGTCGTTGTAAAAACCAATAAAGCGGGCCATCTCGCACCCTCGCACCGAAATATTTCCATTTTACACTGATTTGAACACTTGTTTTTTGCCCCATGAATGTACAGTGTTTGATAGTAACTCCGCCTATGTCTTCTCGGCAATCGGCATAGCCGGTCCCAAGCCCGGGTAAAGGAGGAGGGTTGTGATAGGCTTGGCGAGCCAACGTAAAAACTAGCCAGTCCCATAGGTATGAAACCCATTTGAGCGAGAGTAGTACTAGGATGGGTGACCTCCTGGGAAGTCGTCGTGAAAGGGTTTCATATCTAAGGGTTGTGATAGGCTTGGTGAGCCAACGTAAAAACTAGCCAGTCTTTTGGGTATGAAACCCATTTGGGCGAGAGTAGTACTAGGATGGGTGACCTCCTGGGAAGTCCTCGTGAAAGGGTTTCATATCTAGCCTACCCCAACTTTTTTGGGATTAAAGGCTTCGTAAGCAAGCAAGCAATGTACAATGTTTGATAGTGTTGTGTGGGAATGAGATAAATAACAGGTAACAATGCTCGAATAGCTCTCTACTCCCTCCTTCTGGAAATAGCTGTTGCTCAAATGGATGTATCTAAACGTATTTCAGTGCTGGATTCATCCGTTTGAGCGACGGTTATTTCCGGACGGAGGAAGTAATTTTGTATAAGAGGCCAAAAGCCATCAGCTTTGACATGCACATATATTAGCAAACCTTTGGAGCACTGGGAGCGTGATGGCTTTTGCAGCCTTTGTTGCTCTACTAATAATTTCAATTTGCTCTCTGCTTCAGGACCGGAAAGATGCAGAAAAATAAGAGGGCGAGTGGTCACGCAAGTAGCTTGAGAAAGGTGCAAAGCACCATCAAAAAGAAGGAAAAAATTGGAAGTAGTCGCAAAAGAGGCATTACTACTCGGAAAGGACACCTGAGAGAGAGTTAGTCAATGATTTATGACTTCGTTGGATCTTTTCTTGAACTTATATTGCTCTAATAGAGCACTCATCGTTCTGCTGTATCTTTTTTCTTTGATCAGATATATTTGGCTACTCATCGCCTGATCGGGATATTTCTAGCACCAAGTTCGAAGAGCGACAATTTGGCAATGTATATGAACCTGGTCAAGCTGACTGGTGTGAACTAAGTAAAAGACTAGCTTCACATTTGTCTGTGGAAGTTGTCTCACTTGCTTTGTTCGATGGTGATGATGCTACTATATGCTTATGAAAATATCCAAATCTGTACTGAGTCGCCACTTGTTAATTATCAGAAAAAATGTGATCTTGTGCAGGAGATAAGATGTTATATGCATGCACGGGTATAGTTCTACCACGTGGGACATCAAGACTGGACCTAACAAGATTCCTGACTTCATCACAGTTGGTTGCAGTCTTTAATTTTAAAAGAAACAAGGATGATAAATTGAGGGTTTGTGCTCACAACAGTTTTCTCGCCATCTTGCTTTATGCCCTTATTTATTCAAGCTAACCTTGATCACTTCTTGCTGATGTAGTGGTTTTATCACTGTAGGTTTTGGTGCGCCTTCCTGACAAAAAAACTATACCTGGGATCTTAGGACTATATGATAAATATATTGCTATTGTTACATCCGAATACTTCCAAGATGTTATGCCATTAGACATGTATCAGCAAACATATCTGCCTAATCCTTCGACGATGGTAGCTGCTGGGCGTGCCTACAATTCAAGCAGTTTGATGGGCACGATTGGGGAGCTGACTGATATAGGAGCTGATTATGAAGATCTTGTGGCCTCTAACTGTCAGATCACAGAGGTATGTTTTTTTTTCCTTTTTGCAGGATGCAGAATTTGAAACAGATAGTTGCATTATGATATCTGTGGTCTAATGTGACAATGTGTGCATCTTTTTTACTTGTTCTAGGCTGGACTTGGAGGGCCACTCATTGATCTTGCTGGCAATTTTGTTGGGATCAACATTTGTTTTCATGGTGATACGCAAAGGCCTTTGTTTCTACCAAGGATATTGCTTCGTCAACGCTTGGAGCAATATGAGGTGCTCATGTATGTCTTCCTTGCCTAGTGTTATGAGCTATATCTTCTCCAATTAGCTTATCTATATTTGTTCTAAGCCTCCTGCCCTCCTTTCATGTTTCACTTCACCTGTGTAAGGTAATCCTTTTTCTGTTACTAGCAACACTGGCACCCTAGGAGTCTTCACGCATCTCCCTAGCAATGGAGAAGAAAATTAGTAAAAAAAAAGCTTTTCCACATGCCCTCCACTGCACTACCAACTGATCTATCCGTATAGTTAATTTTAGCAAAGGCTGTGTGACAGCAACAATACTACTTCTAGGAGAAGGTACATAAATACTTATCGAGTAAACAAGTATCTCAAGTTCTCAACCCTATAATAATAGTTTTGTTTTCTCAAAATACATAAATACTTGCCATACCCCAAACTGTTGTTTCAATAAATGCCTAGGCATATTTCTGCAACACAGTCTGGAGCTACCCAGACTGTACTTACCTGTAAGTATCATCCTTGAGCCGAAGCTTCTTCAAGCCGCCACCAAGCTTGTTGGAGTGAAAGCTTATTTTTTGAAGCCACCATACCAACATTCTCTGTTTCTAAGTTAGTGTGCTTGTTTCTGAAGTTGCTCTATTTGTCTAAATGAGGGTGAGTTAAAACATCTCATTCAGAATAAAATTTGGACAATATTTCATATTTATAGCTTCTGGATCTGCTCAATCTTTCTGTCTTTCGTTGTATCTTTACTTTTAGGCCCGATTTCCATTTCTTTTTTGCGTATCTTGTTTCCTTTTATACATCGGTTCTATGTGTTGGTAGACTCTTGTTTTGGGGAGTACATCTGTGTATCTATTTATAACAACAGCCCTGCTGTGTCTATTGCAGTCCTGGAAAAGGTTATGGAGAGAAAATGCCACCTTATTGTGCAGGTGAGCATGGCACAATCATTATTATTTTCTAGTCATAATTATCATCATTTCTTTAACATGTAGTCCATGGATATGCTTACCTGTTCTTGATACATTTTTTAGTGTGTCCTCATTCATCTTCTCCATTTTAGGTTTGTTAATGGGAAAAACCAGCAATAGCAGGCAGGGATCTTATGAACCTCCTCCAGGTGCTTCCAGAATAATCCCTTCAGGTGTGAACTATGTGCTATTTTTTTACCTATTGATCATTGCACGGCACATCTGAGTACTAATATTGATCACCTTATACACCAGGATTTATGGATACCTGGGAGTGGCTAGAATCCATGGGCTACCCTAAACCACCACCACTTATGCTGGAATGTATGTTGTTGCTTTTGATGTTGCCGGCTTCTGCATTGTGCATTTTCATATAACTATTGTAGCAATAACTAATTCTGTGCTTGTTTCTTTGAACAGTGAATGGGCGCCTGGTTAGGACATTTGAGGAAGTGTTTGGTTGGTTACATGCTTGGAAAGGTTATAAAAACTTCGATATGTTGCACGGTCATGGAAAGAATGCCTGGCAGAGGCTTGATAAGAAGATAGTTGCAACTATATCCAATCGTGTTATCTCACTTGTTTCGTTCAATGGTGATTTTAACAGTTGAACCGTTACTTTTTTCCTACCTAGTATTTCATCCTAACGACCAAACTTGTCATATGTAGGAGAGGGTACGAGTTTTTTTTCATGCTCAGGCTTCCTTATAAGGGGTCCGCCAAGAAAAGGGCGCACACGCAATGTGATTGTGACTTCGGCCAGTTTGGTTAGAACTTGTGATGTTACAGACAAATTTGATGAGAATATGAGGGTTGGTGCTCCTACCTCCTTGTCGATTTTCCTCCGTCTTCAGGTTAAATACAAGGTGTAACAGTTGAGTTCACTTCACCTGCAGATTGAGGTGTTTCTCCCACCGAATCAGCGCTTGAATGGGACACTGGAATCATATCATTCCGGATATAATATTGCTATTGTCACTGTTAAGGGTTTGCGTGATATTTGTCCAGAAGATATGAAATTTGATGATCCCATGAGTAACCAAGAGAATCCTTTACCCAGAAGGGTGGTAGCTATAGGGCGTGAGCCCAAAGGAGTGTTATGTGCCTCAATGGGTGAACCTATACTTTGTGATGAAGACCTGCACTGGCCTAGCACATTTGGTTGCCAGCAACTTAAGCTGTCCAATTGTAAAATCTCGAAGGTATGCCGGTGAAGTTCTCTTGCCTTTCATACCCAGGGGTTTGTGACTTTACCCTACCAATGCATGTACTAACCTAGCTTATTTTATGACTGCTGTTTTTGTACAAGGTTGGTATTGGAGGCCCCCTGATAAACTTCTTTAATGGGCGTCTTGTTGGCATGAACTTTTGTGATGGAAGGCCTGATAGAACTCCCTACCTGCCTTGTAAGCAAATTCGTGAAGTCTTACATAGCACATGGCGCTTAACTACCGACCGCTCTGTGCTCAGATTGGACAAACCAGATGTGAACAACAAATGCAGGTATTCTTATGGTTTCTCAGTGCCATATGTTTGTTCGTAGTGTTCAATTACTCAGCACCTGGCTTACATTGGAAACAAAATTTGGATTGCAGATGGCCAGTGCCCAAGCCATATTGGTATCACGGTCTTCTCGAGATGAATAGGTTTGGTCCGATGCCCATGATAGGATGGGTTCGCCAGTAGGCTCGCACCACATACTGTTAATTGAAGTTTATGTCTACCGCTTATTCCCTGTTTGTAACAAAGTACTGCGTTCCTAAATATAAGACCTTTTAGAGATTCCAATATGGACTACAAAGCAAAATGAGTGAATCTACACTATAAAATATGTTTATATACATCCGTATGTAGTTTGTATTTAAATCTCTAAGAGTATCTCCAACAGACGTGCGGTTGCGCGGGGCGTTAATTTTTTTTTTGCAGCGCCAAAATAGCGTTTTTAGGCCCTGTATAATGCAAGGTGCTTGGGATAGGTGCTTTAGAGAAATAAACCAATTTTTCTCTGAGCACCGGTGCTTATTTGTAGAGGGTAGACGCTTAACTAAACGTCTGTCCTATAGAAATAAGCATAGGTGCTTAAGAAAAATTTGGTTTATTTAACTAAGTATCTCCCTAAGCACCTCCCATTGTACAAGGCCTTGGTGCGCTTGGCAGGTGTTTTGCTTTACTAGAGGCGTTATATATTGCAGGGCTCTAGCAGGCGTGGTAACACGTCTAGCACAAACAACATTTTTTCTTCAACATAGAACCAAGAAGATCGAACACATAAAATAAATTAATAATAAATAGTTCATGAACAATGCAACAAATAGTTATTACAACTCAAACAAATAGTTTATCTTTCAATACAACAAACAGTTCATGAACAATGCAACAAATAGTCAATAATACGACAAACATACATCAAACTAATTTTGTCGCCCATTTCATGACCACCACTCCTCGACCAAATCCTTTTGATGGTCATCATGCGTTTTGGCAGGTTGAATGGCATGTGATGCGTTTTTGAGTGAAGGATTAGGTATAACTGATGATAGGAGGCAATAAAGCGGGCCACCCGCACAGACCCCCTCTGCACTCGCACTGGATGTCCCAACAACAGCCCTGCTGTGTCTATTGCAGTCCTGGAAAAGTTTATGGAGAGAAAATGCCACCTTATTGTGCAGGTGAGCATGGCACAATCATTATTATTTTCTAGTCATAATTATCATCATTTCTTTAACATGTAGTCCATGGATATGCTTACCTGTTCTTGATACATTTTTTAGTGTGTCCTCATTCATCTTCTCCATTTTAGGTTTGTTAATGGGAAAAACCAGCAATAGCAGGCAGGGATCTTATGAACCTCCTCCAGGTGCTTCCAGAATAATCCCTTCAGGTGTGAACTATGTGCTATTTTTTTACCTATTGATCATTGCACGGCACATCTGAGTACTAATATTGATCACCTTATACACCAGGATTTATGGATACCTGGGAGTGGCTAGAATCCATGGGCTACCCTAAACCACCACCACTTATGCTGGAATGTATGTTGTTGCTTTTGATGTTGCCGGCTTCTGCATTGTGCATTTTCATATAACTATTGTAGCAATAACTAATTCTGTGCTTGTTTCTTTGAACAGTGAATGGGCGCCTGGTTAGGACATTTGAGGAAGTGTTTGGTTGGTTACATGCTTGGAAAGGTTATAAAAACTTCGATATGTTGCACGGTCATGGAAAGAATGCCTGGCAGAGGCTTGATAAGAAGATAGTTGCAACTATATCCAATCGTGTTATCTCACTTGTTTCGTTCAATGGTGATTTTAACAGTTGAACCGTTACTTTTTTCCTACCTAGTATTTCATCCTAACGACCAAACTTGTCATATGTAGGAGAGGGGAACGAGTTTTTTTTCATGCTCAGGCTTCCTTATAAGGGGTCCGCCAAGAAAAGGGCGCACACGCAATGTGATTGTGACTTCGGCCAGTTTGGTTAGAACTTGTGATGTTACAGACAAATTTGATGAGAATATGAGGGTTGGTGCTCCCACCTCCTTGTCGATTTTCCTCCGTCTTCAGGTTAAATACAAGGTGTAACAGTTGAGTTCACTTCACCTGCAGATTGAGGTGTTTCTCCCACCGAATCAGCGCTTGAATGGGACACTGGAATCATATCATTCCGGATATAATATTGCTATTGTCACTGTTAAGGGTTTGCGTGATATTTGTCCAGAAGATATGAAATTTGATGATCCCATGAGTAACCAAGAGAATCCTTTACCCAGAAGGGTGGTAGCTATAGGGCGTGAGCCCAAAGGAGTGTTATGTGCCTCAATGGGTGAACCTATACTTTGTGATGAAGACCTGCACTGGCCTAGCACATTTGGTTGCCAGCAACTTAAGCTGTCCAATTGTAAAATCTCGAAGGTATGCCGGTGAAGTTCTCTTGCCTTTCATACCCAGGGGTTTGTGACTTTACCCTACCAATGCATGTACTAACCTAGCTTATTTTATGACTGCTGTTTTTGTACAAGGTTGGTATTGGAGGCCCCCTGATAAACTTCTTTAATGGGCGTCTTGTTGGCATGAACTTTTGTGATGGAAGGCCTGATAGAACTCCCTACCTGCCTTGTAAGCAAATTCGTGAAGTCTTACATAGCACATGGCGCTTAACTACCGACCGCTCTGTGCTCAGATTGGACAAACCAGATGTGAACAACAAATGCAGGTATTCTTATGGTTTCTCAGTGCCATATGTTTGTTCGTAGTGTTCAATTACTCAGCACCTGGCTTACATTGGAAACAAAATTTGGATTGCAGATGGCCAGTGCCCAAGCCATATTGGTATCACGGTCTTCTCGAGATGAATAGGTTTGGTCCGATGCCCATGATAGGATGGGTTCGCCAGTAGGCTCGCACCACATACTGTTAATTGAAGTTTATGTCTACCGCTTATTCCCTGTTTGTAACAAAGTACTGCGTTCCTAAATATAAGACCTTTTAGAGATTCCAATATGGACTACAAAGCAAAATGAGTGAATCTACACTATAAAATATGTTTATATACATCCGTATGTAGTTTGTATTTAAATCTCTAAGAGTATCTCCAACAGACGTGCGGTTGCGCGGGGCGTTAATTTTTTTTTTGCAGCGCCAAAATAGCGTTTTTAGGCCCTGTATAATGCAAGGTGCTTGGGATAGGTGCTTTAGAGAAATAAACCAATTTTTCTCTGAGCACCGGTGCTTATTTGTAGAGGGTAGACGCTTAACTAAACGTCTGTCCTATAGAAATAAGCATAGGTGCTTAAGAAAAATTTGATTTATTTAACTAAGTATCTCCCTAAACAGCTCCCATTGTACAAGGCCCTGGTGCGCTTGGCAGGTGTTTTGCTTTACTAGAGGCGTTATATATTGCAGGGCTCTAGCAGGCGTGGTAACACGTCTAGCACAAACAACATTTTTTCTTCAACATAGAACCAAGAAGATCGAACACATAAAATAAATTAATAATAAATAGTTCATGAACAATGCAACAAATAGTTATTACAACTCAAACAAATAGTTTATCTTTCAATACAACAAACAGTTCATGAACAATGCAACAAATAGTCAATAATACGACAAACATACATCAAACTAATTTTGTCGCCCATTTCATGACCACCACTCCTCGACCAAATCCTTTTGATGGTCATCATGCGTTTTGGCAGGTTGAATGGCATGTGATGCGTTTTTGAGTGAAGGATTAGGTATAACTGATGATAGGAGGCAATAAAGCGGGCCACCTGCACAGACCCCCTCTGCACTCGCACTGGATGTCCCAACAACTCATACCGAGAATAGTCTAAATCTTGCCTACGCTCATTCTTGATGATCATGTTATGCATGATCACACAAATGTTCATGATGTATCAAAGAATTTTTTGATCCCAAAATCTAGCCGGTCCTCTGATAGTAGCAAATTGGGCTTACAAAATTCGAAAAGCTCTCTACATCTTTCCCAGCCGCCGCCTGAGCATTGTGGAAATCAAGATTTTTCTTATCTTGCGGTGTCGTCAACGGCTTCCCAAATGTTTGTCACCTGGGTAGATACCATTCGCATAGTAGCCATAGTTGTATGTATGATCATTTGTTACAAACTCCACCGGTGGAGTTTACTATTTACAATCCTATTCATGAGTGGTGACCGTTAAGAATATTGATGTCATTGCAAGATCCAAGCATTTAAAAATAACATGCCAAATTCAATTCTTCTGATCGGCCACCGCTTCAAGGATTATAGTGGAACCCTTTTTCTGGCCGTGGAATTGTCCATGCCATGCCTTAGGACAGTTCTTCCAACTTCAATGCATGCAATCTATTGAGCCAAGCATACCTGGAAACGCGCGAGCTTTGTTCATCTTCAAAAGCCTTACGGTGTCTTCAGCATTGGAAGCTCTCAAATATTTCAGACCAAACACTCATAATTCCAACTGCGAAGCGCTTGACACACATGATGGCTTGACTCTCACCCATGACCAAGTGGTTATCAACTAGATCCGTCGGAATACCGTATGCCAACATAAGCAAAGTGACGGTCATCTTTTAAAAGGTGCTATGCCCGAGTTCTTCAGCAGCATTCCTCCTTTGCTGAAAAACCTGATCATGGCTCGCCAGTTTCTCCGCAATGTGTTTGAACAACTCGATGCTCATTCTAAAACGGCGCCGAAAGTAGGACTCGGGGTATGTGGGATTCTCCACAAAATTGTTCCTCATCAATCTGTTGTGGTCATTGATCCTTTCCCTTCATAATTTTTGACGACCGATAACCGAACCATCGTGCTTTGGCTTTCTATTGACGTGCATAGCTAGGATCACTACGACATCCTCCTCCACTTGAAGATCAAATTCTTCATTGGAAGAACCGCAGGATGAACTCATCTACAAAGTTGAATTTAAACTAATTTAAAACTACAAACAACATGCACCAAATTCATCTACAAATATAAAGTTAGAAGCAATATATACCTTGCAAGCGTTCTGTCAAACACCCTGTGGACGCCGAGCTACAAACGGCCGCCGGGCGCTATTCGTCGGAGGAACGGGGTGCTCGAGGGGCTGTGGCGAGGAAAGAAGGTGGAGGAAGCAGCAGCGGCATGCTGGGGATAGGCGGGGAAGCGTTGACGGGTCGCCGGAGCGAATGGAAAAGGTGCGGGTGGAGGCGCCAGTACATGAAGGTTTCAGATCCGGTGGTTGGTGAGATTCGCACCAAATAAGTAGCGGGCGATGCCGTTTTCCCCAGCGCGCTGGACCTACTTTGCCGCGCGCGGGATTTTAGCTCGTCTGCTGAAGCGTCAGTTTTGGTCGCGCGTGCAATATAGTTGTCTTTTGAAGCGCGCGGCTAATGTACCGCGTCTAGGGCAGCGTGATCTGAATGATATTCAGAAATCAACTCGAAAACTAGTTATGGTTAAACCTCCTGTGGCGGGTGCATTTGAAACTTCTGGGACGTAGGAGAGATGTTTTGAAGCACTGACGTTTTATGTGGTCTTGTCTGTCTCCGTCCTGAACATCAGCAATGTCCTCTATTATTGAATCTTTTATTTTAAATATCACTTTATCCACAACTATAACCCAGAACCCAGATATTGCACATTTTTGTATTGCTGGTGGTAACAAAATAGTTTTCTTTTAAAGAAACACCCTACGCTTATGTATATGCATGCACACTCACCAAGCACGTACTACATATATGCTACCAATAGAGCATCTCCAACGGATAATGTAAAAAGTGGTGCCCAAAAAATAGTTTTAGGCTAGAAGAGAATGTTTTGGAATATTTCTTCCCAAGATGTTTTTTTACAACTAAAGTTGCCATGAAAAAAGAAACCCTAAAAAAGGAAACTTGTCATCCGAAAAGAAAGTTGCCATGCTTGACAACTAAAGATGTCATCCTTGCGTCACTAATCTTGCCATAAAAAATGTTTATAGTTGCAATGTGTTTGTGCCACGCGTGTGACACTTATCAGGGTCATATT